TTAATAAGTCCAAATGTCCATATTGCCCAACACTGAAAAATGCTGCTTATAAAGAGGGTGTGACTATATAGGAGGTGACTGTAGAGGAGGATGACCGTATAATATTTTATATTGCAGAATCTGTCATGTATAATCAAGCCTTGACCGTTGGTTCTCCATATGTTATATAAAAATTATGTGCTAGCTAAACTCATAGCACATTAATATTCTAGCAGCTACAATTTGTTAAGGGTAACTTGTTAAATTTTTATAATCAAAGCTGTCTAAAATTTGGTCGGATTATTTTTGAATGAACACTTGAACTCCAACGTTTATATGAAAGTTAAGCACCAACTTTTATTAGAAGGCATTTTGATAATATTAATACATAGTACGATATTATAAATATGAGTTTTTTTAGTTTTAAAGAGAAGTAACTAATAAAAGTCAAATTTCTTTTTGAATAAACGTTTCAAATTTCACGTGAGCAAGATAAGATGATTAAATCATTTTAAAAGTATTGTGCGTTAATTTTTAATTTTGGCCAATCAGAATTTGTGTATATTTAGCCAAAAACAAACTTCCATTATGCTTTCAGATAGTACAAATATATATACTGTACGTATTTAAAAAATTTTTTTTAATTTAGCAAATTTGACCTGGGCTGGTTATAAGAACCAAAAAAGTAACTTTGCTTGGCCTAAATTAGATTTTAAATTTTAATAAAAAATTAGTACGTATAAAATTAATGTATTACAACCAAAAGAGATGCAATGTATTACATATACGATAAATTATAAAATTCTTTGATATTGAACACTATAACCATAAGTACATTATATGTATATAATTTACTACAACACATCGAATTTTTTTTTTAACCTTTTAAGTCAAATAACACATGCACAGAAGCTTTTAGCAACAAAATTTTCAATTTTTTTACTTAGAGCCACTAGCCCTTCAAAGTTTTACGTATGCTCCCAAGTACAGTATTCCTCGATATCAATTTGGTGTTCCCAACAGATTTTTTTAAGTACGTACAATTAATGTATTACAATGATTGATTGGTCAAAATAATGGAAATGGCAATCAATTTTTAAAAAAAGTTCATAAAAGTTAGTAACGATATTATCGCATTATTGTTGTAATTATTTAAATATTCTTTCTTTAAAATTAATATAAAGGATTTTCTTACCCGCAGTTATCAAGAGTGATGTTCAAACACCGGCTTGTTACGTTTGGTGCGATCTTCATTCTTTTGGTTTTAATCATTTTACCTAGTGCACAAGCTTGGGATAATGGTATGATCTTTTTTAATCTTTTTTACACATATTTGCAAAGTTTTTTAATGAAAAAATAATTCTTGAATTTGTAAATAATTCTAAATTTTAATAGAGGACCATGAGATTTTTGATCTAGTGGATCAGCTTACGGGGTTTGAAGGAGAGGATGCAACATTTTATTCATTACTCGGGGTAGAACCTACAGCTTCTGTAAAGGAGATAGGCAAGGCACATAGAAAATTATCACTCGCTTTACAGTACGATAATTAAGTTTCATCACTTTTTGTCGTAATCAAACTATATTAATGAATTCTGACTTCTTTTTTTAACTAGTCCAGATAAAAATCCCGATGAACGCAGTAGAAAATTATACGCCTTATTAGGATCCATTACAACAATACTTCGTAATCCAGAGTCTCGAGAGCGTTACCATTTCTTCCTAAGAAATGGTGTTCCCAAATGGCGTGGAACGGGATGGTATTATAATCGATATCGACCTGGTCTCCCTGGAGTTATTGTTGGTCTCCTCATTTTGAGCTCATTCCTGCACTACATTGTAATGTGGGTGAACTTCTATCAAGAAAAAAAACGAATTAGATATTTCATACAAGAGGCCAGGGAAATTGCTTGGGGAAAACGAATGAAAAAGCAAAATACTAGGAAGAGAGTTTGTGTAAATGAAAAACAATTTATTGTTGATAGTGATAATGTTTTGTTTCTCACAGATGAAGGAGAAGAATTTCTTTTAAGTGAAGAAGAAGTATCCAAACCTAGTTTTGGTAAATTATTTCCAGTTTTGATTTATAAATCTATTTTAAGTAAATTAATAGCCGAGAAAAAACAAAATATCAAGATGGGGGAATCTGGTGATGATCAAGAGCCATTTTCCAGCGATGATGAACGTAGTGAGGCTGGTGACAACCCGAGTCAAACACGTAGACGCAGACCAGGCAGGAAAGCCAAATCTAAGTATTAAAATATTTACATACTTATGGACGGTAATTGTCGACAAATAGATTATTATATATTAGATATTTGAGTTAATAATACTCATAATTATTTTAGAATAAAAGGTAATTTATTTTAAAATCCGAATATTTTTAGAA